CTTAGATCAAAAGAGTCTTTCCTTTTGTTGCAATAACAACACGCTCATTGGAGATTCCAACCTTTCTCTTGCAAGCAGTATCATATAAAGTTAGGGTAGCGAGCCCTTTACTCCAAAAAAACCCGCTTTTCTATCAGCATGCCAGTCCAGCCACAAAGAGTCTCCTTGCCATTCATACGTCTCTATGATCAACGTACTGTCCCTTTAAAAGTGTAGCTGTTTTTAGTACAGATCCAGATCGCTTCTCACTTTAGCCACCAGAGGGCCCACGATTCACTTTAAAGACAGAGTCTATGGTTAGGTCACAACCTAACTTTCCACTGTCCTCCTTTCTGAAGAAAGCATTGGTCCCGCCTCCCTCTTCGCCTCTCGTCGCCATCTTTTGGAGATGTTTACATCAGCCGAGAAAGAATGTCAAAGTCTCTAAGGTCTGTTTAAATGCTCCACTTTCTTTTAGAAAAACTCTCCGCTACAGTCCATCGCCACAGTTTGATCAGTCCCTCCCTCCTTGCTTTGGCATTTGCTTAAAACATCGGGAGATAGGGCATCCCCTCCCCGCCTTCGTTTGTACGCTTGTAGTGGAGGGACTTCACTTCTAGGCTTTAGTGTCTCGTTTCAACAACAACTGACTCATCAATTCTTGAATCGATCCACCAGGTCCTAAGATGGCCCCTGGGATCACGCCAGGCAGAGAAAATCGCTAAACCTCCAAATGCTTGTTCTGGTGGTCGCTTCTAATCCAATACTAGGAATCAGGGCAGGACCTTCAGGGCAGAGAGTAGCCCCCCTGTACCGGCTACCGGCCTATGGGCTTCATGAAGGAGTGTGCACAATCACGCTCCCTCCTAATCCCTGATTCATGGCACACGTCTCTCGGAGGACCCCAGAGACGCCGCCATCGTTCAAAGCGCCAAAACCGGAAACTCCCTAGCTTTATTTTCTGATGAGTCCTTCCTGTCGCAATCAGACGGACAGACAACCACACACATCCTTCTATTACTAGACCTTAATTGTGGACAAAATCAGACCCAATTAAAGTATAAGTACACTCGAAAACATAATGCTTCTGTCTACCCTATACACAGGAATTATGTAATGCTGCAAATTGTCTTACATAAAACTCTTCTGATATCTGAGTAAAACCTTGTAAATATT